AGATAACTATATATGTATGCTATATATATACTCATTTATTATATATATATATATATAGTATATTATATATATATATATATATATATATATATATATATATATATATATATATATATATAGCCCGAGACACTGGATATGTGAGCGATACAAAGATATCTCAGCTGCGTGTGTTATGCTACTTCTTGGAAACGGCAGGAGCTGTTGCACCGAACGATTTGTTTAGTGACAAAATATCTCCCATTCTCTTTTGTTCCTGTTCAAGGAAATACGTCGAAATGGATCATCCCTAGTCCATTCTCCCCCCCCCTCCCCTCCCCTCCCCCTTTATCCTCTCCTTCCTCTTCTTCTTTACTCCGCTTTGCACTTCAGCCTTTTTATTTATTTGCTCTCGCCGCCTCCTCTTCGCGGAAGCCCAGAAGCCCCGAGGTCCCCGTCGCGTTCCAGGCGATTCCCGCTACTGTCTGTTTGGGTCCGTGACTCGGCGTTCGTAGAAAGACCCGTTTGCTTCCAGACAGACAGACAGACGTATACGCGTTAGGGTGGGGTCTATTTGTCCATAAGTACGTGCCTTTGCATGAGCACGCGTATATATAAGCCTCAGACCACAACCAAACGGCAGATACTTGCTAGCAGTTCCTGAGCAAAGATGGTAAGATCAGTCTCTCAGCCTCAGACTCTTCGCCTCAGACTCAGGATGATATTCCGATTAGGGTTTAGATGCATCGCTTGGTTTAGCATCTCCATGTGTGTGATAATCATGTTTATATCAATACTTTATTCACTGTAAATTCATACAGTTAAGCTGGACTATTTGGAGAATACTGTTTGTATCATCATACAGCTTTCTTATACATGCCTAAACAATTAATAGATAGTTGTTCATTTGTTATTCTGAAAGAAAAACAAAGAACAACACTAAATAGACAAAGAAAGTTTAGTAAAGGAATCAGAATACCCAAACACTGACGTTTGATTAAGTTTAATAAAGAATTGATAGATTGATTATTCAACATTATCTGCCGCGTCAACGACCGAGGTCATGAGCGGCGAACGGCGCTTCCAAAGCACACCTTCGAGCGACTCCACTTCCTCCCAACAGAAGGCACCGACGCTGGCGCTGGTGCTGGCCCTCGCGCTGCTGGCCGCCACCTGAAGTGCCTTCTCGGGCCCGTCGCTCGGCGGAGGAGGAGGCGTGAGGACCGGAGCGGTGGAATCGGCGAGGTGGCAGCTGTCCACCATTGCAACAATCGGCGGGGCGGGAACACAAGAGGGAGGCACCATGAGGAGTCGACGAGCAGCGGAGGAAACCACAGGTGGGGATAACCACGACACGGCGGAACCGCGTCGAGTGGTTACGGCAGCGCGAGCGTAGGTGGTGAGACTTGGATCACGACACGCAGGAGAGAGGATCTCGCGGACAGGCCAGCGTGGGAAGTGCCGCGACGCGCGCGCGATCCGAGAGGCAATGAGAGTCGCAGGCCGGGCGCGTGCGACTTCGAGCGAGGCTGGATCCGAGAGGTAGGGATATTGCGATGATAAGCATCGCGGCGGCTATAGGACTTGGAGCCAGTCGGGGCATATCTCGCTGCACGGCGCGAGACGGACACTGGATGTCGCAGTGGCGGACCTTTGAGGCTGGCTCGTGTGAGAAGAGTTTATTGATTTTCCTTCTAAGCTGTGCACGGAATTCAAATAAGTCAAATAGAAATTCGTTTGTCTGAAATTATAACTTATATTTATTCTACCGCAACGATGTCTCATGTACACTATTCCACTTGTAAAAATACACTAACACAAGTCACGTGACAAGCGACGCGTAGAAGCGTCAGAACAGTGCGTGTGCATGAACACGTGTAAATATAAATCCTTTTTTCTTCTTTTCCAGAAGATTCCTGATCAAGCAGCATAAACAAGGCATCAACCTGCTATCCGCGTCTCACACAACTGATAAATAATGACAATACAGACTTACGCTTTTTCAACTACGTCAACATCAATAGCCTCCAATACACTATAATCAACAATATGCATCATTAGCCAGGACCTTTCTTTATTCCTTCAAAAGCCATCGGAGTTCAGCATCGTTAACTTGTAAGTAAAAATGCTACACAATCAAGAAGATTTTTTGAAAGCCTTCATTTCGGCTATACTGCTCATCTTAAACAATCTTAAGTTCAGTCGTCAAAATGCTACAAATATGGTGAAGTATCTCCAACACGAGTCCTGTCATTGCTGGAATGAGACTGAAACTTGTTCTACAGTGATTGTGACTCCCTGCCACATACATTATAGTTTAGTACTTTTTCAGCAGTGTATTTCCACATTTTAATCGGTGGTTAGATAGTATTTACCTGGTAACCATTATCGATCCGGGTGACGTCCACACCAGAGCTGGTCTTTACACTACGTTCAGCTGATCATCACAAGTGCCATTGTGTCGCGCCTTTCTTACGTCTCTGAGACGATCACGGCAGTTATCTCCTTCCGCACTTCCTAGCGTAAGATGTGTTGTGTCATATGTGCAATGGAATCCCCAACTCGTGCATCCATGAAAGCGAGTCCTTCCTGAGGTGTCGACGGACTATATACACTGTATCTAGTATTAATTAACACACCGGAAGCATAAATATTCACTAACACTAACACATACGAACACGCTCATCGACATCTACCAATACCATACATAAACATATAAATATATAATATACCATACTCGCATATCACATCTATATATAATACGTGTCTTATATCTTATAGTATTATCATATACTATAGCTATATCAACAACAACACCAATAACCATAAATAACTCATAATCTCCCTTGCCTTCAGAGACATCGAGCCACAGCATCAATGGTTCCCAACACATACACACACTACACATACATATCATATATACTATAAGTTCCTCATATACCTGCTACGTAGTACATATATACTATCCTATCAGCCAATATATACTTAACTATAGCTATATATAGCTAATATACCAAATATAAATATACTTCGACACTATTGGCTATTGATATATGCGCTCATATATCAGATAGCATATGTTGTGTCGCTGCGTGTTGTGTCTGTGTTGTTTGTGTGAGTATGTATCCTATACCATTACATTGACTTGACTATAACATATATAGAATGAGTAGATAGATAGATAGATAAATAGACACAAACCTCAGGCCAATCATGAACTAATGCTGCCAAGTCATATGACCAACTACTCTGGTACCAAGCTACAAAGAACCGACACACTCAACACACACACAACAACACATCATATAATGTAATACTGCATAATATATTTACTTTATATACCATATATATACCTGATACTATGATATAGTGTGTATACTATATATACTATATCACATTACAAGCGGACTATGTATGTATGCGATCATGTAATTCGTATGTATATAATTCTATCAATGTATATATCCTATATATAATATATACATATAATATATAGTATATATGAATATATACTACTATAGCTAATGTACGTGCGTACTTATCGATCCAGACGCGCATCTATTACCGTACTATATGGCTTAGTATGTTTAATATATATGAGTTTGCTGTGTGTCTCTGTCGTGTGTGTGTGTTGATGTACACATATTATATATTTTCATACTATACGACTAAACATAGAGTAGCACATCGATGACATATAGTCGTATATTATTATGTATCAGTATATGTTATTATATAACTATATATATAATCACTATATATATATATATAGTCATAGTATTACTCACGTGCATAAATATACATAATACCGTACTAGATTCATATGAATATCCCGTATATATATCTTACTATATATCTATATATATATAGTATATATATGTGATATCAACTAATATCTATGTATGATGTATTAATCGAGCATTGTTATTGATATGCAACCATACTATGACACCAACAATATCCATATATTCATATACTCATCTTTAGCTATTCTTATAGTTTATCTTATATTCATATAGTATTCTATGATGTCTATACCTAATAATCTATCTACTACACCCTGCCAATCCGCGGATTCCATTACTACTATCACCTTATAATATACTCGCTTGTCGACTTATAATATACCTATATATATATAATTATTTATATATATTATGTCGTCTATTAATGTCACATTATCTATATTTATCCGTATAGTCATACTTAAAGTATAGTATATTATTATATACCTTCATTATATATCTATTCGTATATTATACTTATAGGTATAATACCATAACCGTATATATAGTAATACTACTGCACTACTATACTATATTATATGATATATTATATATATATACTTTTACTCATAACATTATCTAATTATACTAATGTTAATGTTACATATATAGTAGATAGACAGATAGATAGATAGATATGCATATATGCGTGTATATATATGTATAATATATATATATATATATATATATATATATATATATACTATATATATATATATATATATATATATGCATATATACATATAAACCCGAGACACTGGATATGTGAGGCGATACAAAGATATCTCAGCCTCCGTGTGTATCTTACTTCTCGGAAACGGCAGGGGCTGTTGCGCCGAACGATTTGTTTAGTGAACAAATATCTCCCATTGCTCTTTTGTTCCTGTTCAAAAAATACGTCGAAATGTATCATCCCTAGTCCATTCCCCCCCCCCACTCCCATCCCGTATCCCTCTCCTTCCTCTTCTTTACTCCGCTTTGCACTTCATCCTTTTTATTTATTTGCTCTCGGCCGCCTCCTCTTCGCGGAAGCCCAGAAGCCCCGAGGTCCCCGTCGCGTTCCAGGCGATTCCCGCTACTGTGTGTCTGGCCGCGTGACTCGGCGTTCGTAGAAAGACCCGTTTGCTTCCAGACAGACAGACAGACGTATACGCGTTAGGGTGGGGTCTATTTGTCCATAAGTACGTGCCTTTGCATGAGCACGCGTATATATAAGCCTCAGACCACAACACAACGGCA